AACATGGCACAGGCTGATGAATGATTATATTGCATTTTGCATATTGCATTTCCAAGGATTTAGAAAAAAAAAAGAATTCAAATTAAATTCCACCACTTTAACTTAATTACCATAAACTCATTAATTAATGATTACATCACTGCATAACTTTGACTGCAATTACTCAAAGATAAATCATGCTGTTGAATAACGTCAGGGGGCTAACCGAGATACAGTCGACTGTCCCGAGGTAAGCTGCAGGTTTCCTTACACGCTGACTATAAATCTTACAGGTCCTCCTGGTTCATATTACTCTACTGCATATTTTTGTTCCACATCACAACAGACACACTACAAGGCTGAATACTCCACTTAGCTATTTCTTTAGCTAGAAATAATCAACCAATGCCCTCTGCATCAGAAATGTTGTCATTGTTTGTCTTTCTGATGGTACATGTCAGCCTTTAAGGGGGACAGCAGGGTTGATTTTTTTCTAGGGAGGAGTGATATGTTCAAAACCTTGGCTGTTGAAGGTTAAAGACCATAACCATGTCAGTGAGTGCATGCTTTCAACAATCTGCCTCACCAGCTCCTTCTGTATCTGGAATAGTTTTTTTCTTCCCTGACAAGTGTCATGTTGACCTTGACTACAATTTTACAAATCGCTCATATGGAGCTTGACCTTGTAGATTCAATTCAGTATATGATAATTGAGAGTCCTTTCATAACACTGGTAGTATGCATGATGATGGACAAGGAAAGCACATTTCTGTGTAAGCTTTTATCTTCACCCCTTTCCATTTGTTTGCGTGTTAGTTGATTGATTCGTTTGATTGTTTGTAAGCAGGATTGAGCAAAAACTACAGAACAGATTTCCTTTAAATTTGGTTGAAAGATGGAACACGGGCCAAGAAAGAACCATTAAATTGGACAAATATGCTAATTTTTCACTTTCTTTAATATGATGTGATTAATTCACTGATTTCTTAAGGAATAACTAATGGATCTTGATGGGGAAAAAAAACTATTGTTGACTTTCCAGAGAAAGGCACTTCAGCTGAACTGCAGTTTAAATCTTTGCATTACCTCACCTCTCCTTGGCTTATGACTCTGAAGCTTTTCTTATGAACTGACACACCCACACACACGCGCACACACACACACACACAAACACACAGACACACACAGACACACACACCCATCTACTCTCCTGATACTGTAGCTCTCCAAACCAGTTCCCTCTCATTAATAAGAAGAGTGGAGCTGTAAATCTCCAGAGAAGGGTAAACAACAAGAGGCCTCAGTTTGTCTTATATTGTCTTAGTTCTATGTTTTCATTCTTGAATTGAAAAAACTTTAGCCAAATTTTTATTATTACAAAAACTCAGAGTGGCTTGCTTGATAAGAATTTGTTGGTTGCAGTGAAGAAAAGAAAAAAGGAAAACATCAAGTGGCGCTCAGCAGTTTGACATAATGATGTGTGGACCAGAAATATCCTCTCAGAGGCTTAGACGAGGCTGGCTGACGACAGGCAGTGCTTGGTAGAGAAAGTATATAAAGAATGGCTGCAAGCAAGTGTTCCGATTTTTTGCTTTGGCAGAGCTAGTCAAATTATATCACAGCTGCATTGGAAAGCTGCAGGTCATGATTTAGAAGGTATCCAATTTCTTTTAGATCTAATGAAAATGAGTCTGTTACCTTAAATGGACACTAAATATTCTGTTCATTTTGTCCCAGTAGAGTTTAGCGCAGTTAAAACAGATGGATCGAGGCAGTCTGCGAGAATACTAGCTTCTGCTCTTCATCGATTTCATTTTTTTGCATGTTTGTTTACACAAAAATGTATAATACTAAACAAATACTAGTGCTGAGATTTTGGCAAGAACATTGAAGTGTATGGAACATTGCAGGTGTATAGATGGACGGCTAAGAGGTGGATTAGAGTCTGAGTGTTTGTTTCTTTAGTTGTTGTTTAACTTTTATTACAATTCCGAACTTAGTTTTTGAACTTAGCAAAGTTGGAGTCATTGTAACTCTCTTTAAATTCATGAGACACGGCTCCTTTCACAGTCACAAAATCCAGATTGTAGTGTTTTGGTATCAGATATAACTAGAAGGCCACTCAGAGAGCAGATACCTCCACTAATTCGGACTAGCTACTTTATCACCATATTGTATATTATATTTAGATCAGAAACATATACCATACTATAAACAGTAATTCTCTGTAAACTGCTCACATTAGATGTGTGCAAAATTCCCATTCTCTGATATAGTCAAAAGGAATATTTGTTTCATAAAATAATAATCACATGTCACAAAAAGTTATTTTGATTCACAAAATCTGTATATTTCTCTGGATCTACACCAAATTTCACCTTGTCATTAATATTAACATTCTACACAAGCCTGGTTTCTCTTGCAAAGATCTGAGAGCTGCATTTTTTTATTGCGATATTCACAAAAATATAGAAGCAAATTGTGAAAAAAACCTGGATCTGCCTTGTTAATTGAATACTCCCCATAAGTTAATGGGTTCTTCCTTTGCCTATGTCCCACCCTTCTACCAAGTTTCAATTAAATCAGTTTAGTAGAAACCTGCAAACAGTCAGACAAACAGCAATGAAAGCATTACCTCCTTGACAGATAATAAAACTAAAACCATTGCATTTCACAAAGATAGATATGTTCAGCATAATGTGAAGGAATGTTACAGGCCTACCATTTTGTTGTCAGTTAAGGTGCGTTTGACGACAGGCTGCCTGAAGGGGTTTGGACGAAATTCTTCCTCATCCTGCACAGTCAGTCTAGGAATGGCCGTCATCGGGCGAATAACCCCGGGCTTCGTCTGGATAGAGACAGTCAGAGTTTGTAAGCAGAGAGAAATTTATCCCCATAAGTTTGCTTCCAAGAGCTTAACACTATTGGTGTAGTAATAATAGAAGTTGTATCAGGAGTCTAAACATGATCAATTGAGAATTAAATGTGAACCTTTCTAGGATCCATCTGCTTCCTGTCCACACTGCCATACTGGTACAAGCTGCTTAAAGATGCCTGAATAAACAACATGGAAGAAAAACATTAGCGTAGTTATTAGTGTCTGTCACAGTAGTGTGGATACACTGATGAAAGAAAAACCCACTGCAGGGTTTCTATAAAGGCAAACACAAGCAGGCTCCTCAGTTGTGGAAATGTGGCAAATTAGGTGTGATATTTTATAATCCAGATAAATATGCCATCTGTTCTAAAGGAGCCTCATTTAATTTACTTATCAATCATGGTTTTGAAGGGGGGGTTGAATTTTTTGTCACGCTCCTCACAGTCAGTGCAACCATTCATTGCTAATTAGTTAGCTAATGTACAGTTGAATTAGATAGACAACTTATCCAGTGCTTCAGTAATTGACACAAGGCAGCAATTTGTTTAGCTTTACATCTGAATACACCTTTAGAAAGTATACAACATTATGCTGCAGAAGTGCAAATCTATGTTTTTTTTTTTACTTTTGATGTAAACTAACTAGCTGTTAGCCGTTGACGCTAAGAAGAATTTAGGTATTTTCTGGATTTTTTTCTGGGTTATTTACGTTCGAGGAAGAAGTCCCCAGTCCCCGGCATAGTGGTGAGTAGATAATGCGTGAATTTAAAATTTTCCGGTGAACTATCCCCTTCACAAAGAGCTTTGTCAGTTCTGTTTTCAGCTACATTTATCCTTCAAGGACAAAAAGGACAAAATCTCTGTCTGTTCTGCCTGAATCTCTGTTGAGGTCTTTAAAATATTCCTTTCTTTGAGGGGCCTCTGCAACTCAAGTGCAAGTGTTGTCCTGCAGCTCAGTCCTGTGAATTTGGGACTTGTGAAAGTAAAACCAAAAAAACCAAACAG